ATGATATCACAAAAGTGTAGGAAATATTAAAAATCTAGAAATAACAGGATTACTTCTATTATATTCCAGTATATTTTCCCCCCTCTGGCTCTATTTTTGTTAATCAGTTTATGTTGTTCATTATATTCCACAAATGAGTGAGATCATATGATATTTATCTTTCTCCGACTGGCTTATTTCACTTAGCATGATGCTCTCCAGGTCCATCCATGCTGTTGCAAATGGTAAGAGTTCCTTCTTTTTTACTGCAATGTAATATTCCATTGTGTAGATGTACCACAGTTTTCTAATCCACTCATCTGCTGATGGGCACTTAGGCTGTTTCCAAATCTTAGCTATTGTAAATTGTGCTTCTATGAACATAGAGGTGCATATATCCTTTCTGATTGGTGTTTCTGATTTCTTGGGATATATTTCTAGAAGTGGGATCACAGGGTCAAATGGGAGTTCCATTTTTAATTTTTTGAGGAAACGCCATACTTTTGTGAATGATCCATGTGCAATTAAGAAGAATGTATATTCTACTGTGTTGGGGTGAAATGTTCTATAAATGTCTATTAAATCCATCTGGTCCAGTGTGTCCTTTAGAGCAGTGGTTGGCAAACTGCGGCTCGGCAAACCGTGGCTCGCGAACCACATGTGGCTCTTTGGCCCCTTCAGTGTGGCTCTTCCACAAAATGCTGACTTCTGCGCATGGGCCACGAAGTTTCAATCGCACTGTACGTGCGCGCCCGCATGTGGTATTTTGTGGAAGAGCCACACTGAAGGGGCCAAAGAGCCACATGTGGCTCGCGAGCCGTGGTTTGCTGACCACGGCTTTAGAGTCTCTGTTTCCTTGTTAAGTTTTTGTCTGGAAGATCTGTCCAGGGAAGTCAGAGGGGTGTTAAAGTCCCCTACTATGACTGTATTATTGTCAATCTCTCCATGAAAGTCCTCTAGAAGTTTAATATATTTAGGTGCACCTATATTGGATGCATAAATGTTCCCCAGGGTTATATCCTTTTGTTGAATTGATCTCTTTAGTATTATGTAGTGACCTTTGTTGTCTCTTGTGATAGCCTTCATTTTAAAGCCTATTTTGTCGGATATGAGTATTACTACTCCAGCTTTTTTTTTCTTTTCCATTTTCATGGAAAATTTTTTTCCATCCCTTCACTTTCATCCTGTGTGTGTCTTTTGTTTTGAGGTGGGTCTCTTGTAGTCAGCATATAGTAAGGTCATGTTTTTATATCCATTCAGCTACCCTACACCTTTTGATAGGAGCATGTAATCCATTTACATTTAGGGTTATTATTGAGAGGTACTTATTTATAGCCATTTTAATTCTGTATGGCTAGGTTTCTCTCTCTGTTTCTTCTCAGCAATCCCTTACAGCAATCCCTTTTGCATTTATCGTAATGCTGGCTTGGTGGTGATGAACTCCTTTAGCTTTTTTTTGTTTGTTTGTTTGGGAAGCTCTTTATTTGACCATCTATTTTCAATGATAGCCTTGCTGGATATAGTAATCTTGGTCTTAGATCCTTGCTTTCCATTACCTTAAGTACTTCATGCCATTCCCTTCTGACATGTAGAGTTTCTAATGTCATCATCCTGGGGAACAGGCTTCAACAAATGAATTTGGGGAGGGATATGAACACTCAATCTATAGCAGTTGATATTTTCCAGGTCTTCCTTTGCTCCTAGACTATGGTTTAAGAGGTGTTTCATGTCTGCTCCTTTCTTAAAGTGACTGTCCCTAAAATGAAGACAAAAACTAATTAACTTCCTATATTAGACTTAATATTCTAAAATGATTTATGACTTTTTTCCTCTGGTTGTCCCCTTATATTAATTATGAAGGCTCCCCAAATACTGCTAGTCTTACAGTTTTGTATTTCATGAGTGACCATAATTGATGGGTTCTATGGGTATTGGTTATGTTCTTGAAGCTTTTCTCAAGGTAGCGGTGACAGACATTTCTATTCTGATAAATTATATCAACATCCTCTTGCTTTCCCTGAGCACATTTGAAGTTCCTCTTGCTCCATCTTTTTTTTTTTTTTTAGAATTTATCTTTATTGTTGAAATTATTAATGATGTTCCTCCCCCCCCCCCCCCCCGAAATTGATCCCCTCCACCCTGCACTTGTCCTCCTCCTCCGCCGCCTCCCCTCAGGCCTTCACCACACTATTGTCTATATCAGCAGTTGTCAACCTGTGGGTTGCGACCCCTTTGGGGGTCGAACGACCCTTTCACAGGGGTCGCCTAAGACCATCGGAAAACACATATATAATTACATATTGTTTTTGTGATTAATCACTATGCTTTAATTATGTTCAATTTGTAACAATAAAATTGGGGGTCACCACAACATGAGGAACTGTATTAAAGGGTCGTGGCATTAGGAAGGTTGAGAACCACTGGTCTATACCCATGGGTTATGCATATAAATTGTTTGGTTAATCTCTCCCCTTCAGGTTCCCTCTGAGATTCATCAGTCTGTTCCATGCACCTATGTCTCTGGATCTGTTTTGTTCATCAGTTTATTTTGTTCACTCGATTATACATATGAGTGAGATCATGTGATACTCATCTTTCTCTGACTGGCTTATTTTGCCTACTCTTGTTCATATCTTGTATATGGAGTCTTATTAAGTAAAAAGGAACATATTGGGCCTATCTTTAAGACTTTGATGAAAACATGTTAGAGAAGTAGACAAAGGGTTACTATTTCTCCTCAATCTTGTTCCCTAGTTAATCAACAGTAAAAATTCAGTCCTTCTCTTATGCCATCTCAGGTTTGGAGACCACTTATGATCACTCACTTTAATATTTGAATCTGGCTACTTCTCTGATATTTGTATATACAGAAGTACCACAAAAACACAATTAGACCTCACCTTTATGGTCTGCTTTCATTTTTTAATAGAATATTAATGCTAGACAATATTTTAAAGATGTGGTCAAGACCTCTACCCAGAACCTCTGAGAACATAAATCATGGGAGGCATGTGGTGGGCCATCCTATCTATTGTTAGTGCTCTCTAGGGATGAAGATGATGAACCTTTCCTTAGTAGCCTATCCTAGTGCGAAATGACCATTACTGTTAGTAGGTCTAATCTGTGTCTTCTTACCATCTTTGTGGAACGTAGAGGTGTTTTTTTTTTCTTTGTTTTTATCTTTGCTTTATTAAAAAAGTATAGTTTTATAACTTTGGAAGAGTAGAGTTGGTGATTGAAGTCTTGGGAGAAGGCCTGAAAAATAAAAACACTTGGGAGACATATTAGTTACATTATTTTTTGCTTTAAACTATTGTGATTTGCATTTCTGTTTCTATAGAGCAATCATAGATTAGAGTGTCACTTGCTTAAGAATTTTTGCCATTCTTTGAAATGGCATGTGTTAAACATAAATGATTCTTAGAGACAAAGAAAACATTGTATGAGGACTGGATGTCAAGAGTACATGGCCATGCCCTGACCGGTTTGGCTCAGTGGATAGAGCGTCGGCCTGCATACTCAAGGGTCCTAGGTTCGATTCCAGTCAAGGGCATGTACCTTGGTTGCGGGCACATCCCCAGTGGGAGGTGTGCAGGAGGCAGCTGATCGATGTCTCTCTCTCATCGATGTTTCTGACTCTCTATCCCTCTCCCTTCCTCTCTATAAAAAAATCAATAAAATATATATTTAAAAAAAATTAAAAGAGTACATGGCCTTCTCTGATGAGGTCAATTATGTTTTAAAAAGAACAAAATATTTTGTAACATTTGTTCTTCTAATGTGCTCCCCAACAGAACCAATCCAGGATGTACAAAAGAATTTTTAAAAAGCAGCTGTATTACTATAATTTGTCAGCAAATGGACTACATAAAGCCTTTTATCCAATCAGTATTGTAGGGAAAATATCTTAGTTCCTGCTGATCAAAATGATAACATTTATCAGTAGTAACTTGTGGTGCTCAAGATGCCACTTCTACTCGAGGAGCAGATAAGCAACCCCAACACCATCTTCCAAGATGAGCTCAAAGGTGAGATCCTATCTCTGTACATAGATATCATAGCACCTCTCCCCAGCCCGATCCTATATTTTACCTGGCATCTTCTAAGAAAAGGGATATTCTTGCCCTAACTGGTTTGGCTCAGTGACTAGAGTGTCAGAATGCAGACTGAAAGGTCCCAGGTTCGATTTCGGTCAGGGGCATGTACCTTGGTTGCGGGCACATCCCCAGTGGGGGGTGTGCAGGAGGCAGCTGGTCGATGTTTCTCTCTCATCCATGTTTCTAACTCTCTATCTCTCTCCCTTCCTCTCTGTAAAAAATTAATAAAGTATATTTTTTAAAAAATCAATTATATAAAAATAAAATAAAAAACATTCACGAGAATGTGTAAAAATTGGACCCCGCGTACATTGCTGGTGGAAATGTAAAATAGCGGAGCCACGTTGGAAAACGAGAGTCACTGGATGGCCCAGAAGTTCCACTTCTAGGTACATACCCACAAGAAATGGAAACATGTTCACGCAAAAAACTTGTACACAATGTTCATAGCAGCGTTATTCATAAGAGCCTCAAACCGGAAACAACCCAAATACTCATCAACTGATGAATGTGTAAATAAGATGTGGTATACCCATACACTAGAATATAGCATACAGAAAACTTTACAATGTTATGGTAAATGAAAGAAGCCAGTCACAAAAGACCAGATATTATGACTGCATTTATGTGAAATGTGGTCGTCCCCCCCCCCTCCCCGCCCTGCCCCCCGCACTCATAGGCATATCCCTGGTGGCATATCCATACAGAAATCAGATTAGTGACTGCCTGGAGCTAGGGCGGGAAGACAGGGAGGGGGCACTGGGAAAGGGAGGCGACTGTTAATGGATATGGGTTTAAAGTCCTACAATTGGCTCCTCTCTGAGGGGGCGTGGCTAGGCCCTGGGGGCGTGGCCGGGACGAGCCACCTTAAAGCCGGGCTGAGGCGCAGGGGCCCATGCTGTGGTGGCTGTTACCTGTGGAGGCATGGAGGAGAGCGCTTGCCTCTGCGGTGTGGGCTCTTCGCGGGGATGTAGGTGTCCTCAGAAGCGCCAGCGCCCAGCTGAGATGACAGCGGCCGAGGGCAAGTGGTGTCGTCAGAAGCGCCAGCGCCCAGCTGAGAAGGCAATGGCCGCTGGCAAGCCGGCCCCGGCAGAAAAGCACGTCCAGAGGGACGCGGCAGCACGGTGCTGTGCGAAGAGTGGAGGAATCGCGAGCCCCATGCCACCCCCGCAGACCCCGCACTGCTCGCTGCAGGACCTGCCGGTGGAGATGCTGGTGGAGATCTTCGCCTGGGTTCCCGCCACCGATCTGCCCAGCCTGGCCCAGGCCTGCACCAAATTCCACCACATCCTGCACATCGACAGCATCTGGAGAAGGCGCTGCCGGGAGGAGTTTGGCGTTCGTGAAAACTTGCAGAACCTGGAGATGATGGGTATGTCTTATCGAGAAGTCTATGCGAAGCTGTTCCCATACAGAAACATTTTGGGATTGTGGCAGCTAGATGATACTGAGCACTACAGAATACTAGTGAATGTAGTGGTGGACGGCTTATGCATTACTGGTTGGACATACAGGGCTTCCCTTCACACCCATGTGGGTGGCCCAATACATTTCAGGCCCTCGTTCAGAATTCGCCTGACGAAGAGGAAATCAGCCACGGTGGAGTGCATGGAAGGCCGCCACAGCAGGCCGCACAACCGCCACATGCAGATTCGGAAGGACAGGTTCACCATCCAGTGCAAGAAGACAGACCACGGAACGGATTCACCAACGCGGCTTAGGGAAGAAGGGGGGCTGGTGCTGGAGGACAGACAGCGGTATGACTGGCTGACCTACCGCCGCCTCTACCTCCCGCCGAGCCACCCGGACGACCTCATCAGGCCAGGACTCTTCCAAGACTACTACGATGACTTCGGCCTAAAGATTGCCATTCTCAGCTTCCATGGGAAGTATGCCAGGGTCACCAAGATCACGGGAGACCCCATCCGGACGTTAGAGATCCACCTCATGCGCCGCATCCAGCTGCAAGATGGCAAATCTTCCACAACTACCACGAGCTCTCCCGCGTGGTCCAGGAAGTTGACGAGCAGGTGATCCGGGAGCAGCAGCAGCAGCAGCAGCAGCAGCAGCAGCAGGAAAACGGGACTGAGGAAAGCGAGGGCCATGGCTGGCAGAGCCCTGCCCAGCCCAGCGTCGGGGAGTCCAGGGCTGCAGCTTCGGAGGAGCAGCCTGTCCCGTTTGTTCTGCCTGTGGGCGTGCTCTCAAGAGACCAGAACTACCCCGGAACCTGCAGGATGTGTTTCTATGGCGTGGACACTGTTACCTTACCTGGCTTAGCCTACCGCGAGTGCTTCCCTGGAGTCTTCATCCTGTTTGATGAGAACAACTTCGGGTTCATCCGGCTGGAGGCGAAATACTTCTTCCTGTGGGGCAGAGTCCAGAACACCTTCCAGAATGTGGAGGCACCATCCCCGCAGGCTTTCCTGGAGATGCTCAAGAACATTCAGTCCATGCCCTAACCGGTTTGGCTCAGTGGATAGAGCGTTGGCCTGCGGCCTGAAGGGTTCCAGGTTCCATTCAGGTCAGGGGCATGTACCTTGGTTGCCGGCACATCCCCAGCGGGGGGTGTGCAGGAGGCAGCTGATCGATGTTTCTAACTCTCTACCTCTCTCCCTTCCTCTCTGTAAAAAATTAATAAAATATATTTAAAAAAAAAGAAAAGAAAAGGTATATTTTTCTTCTTAATCACAATACTATTCTCATATTCAAGGTCATTAACATTTATTTACTAGTCATTTAATATATAGTCTATATCTAAATGATCCCAATGTAACCCAAAATATCTTTTATAGCTTTTTATTCCTGATTTAGAATTTAAAGTTTCCATATTACATATTATTATTATTACTTATTTTAAAAATCAAAATGAATTTAAGCAAATTGTTTGCACCCATAATCGAGAATCTTGTGAACATCTTGACTTTTTCTGAGGTAGGACCTCCTTGGGTTTGGAAATAAAGCACTATTTATATTATAGTGAAAAGAGAACTGGGCTAAGCATTAAACATTCTGGATTCCAGGCCTTGTCCTGCCACTAATTGTCTGCACAAGGTCAGGTAAGTGACTTTGTCCTCTGGGCCTTGTTTTTTCACCTGTAAAAGGTGTATGGTATGATAACAACATAAGGGTTTGGAGACCCAGTTTTGGTCTTGGTTCTGCACTAATTGTATTACCTTGAGCACATCCTTTGACTTCCCATTCATTTATGAATTGCTTTGAGAAATTTGTCTTGAGTGCTTACCAGCGACCCATGTGAATAACACAGATTCAATTCCTGTCTTCACAGAGCTCAGTGTATCATTCAGGAGGCAGACATTACACACATAGTCATGTCCATGGACTTCCCCACTTATAGGAGCCAATGAACTCCTTTTTTAAAAAATTGTTTTATTGCTTAAAGTATTACAAAGAGTATTACATATGTCTCATTTTTTCCCCCTACCCTTGACAATCCCCTGGCCTCCCCTACGCCCAGTGTCTTATGTCCTTTGGTTATGCTTATATGCACACATACAAGTCCTTCGGTTGATCTCTTACCCCTCCCCCCCCCTACTCCTGCCCCCAACCCTCCCAGGCCTTCACACTGTAGTTTGACAGTTTGTTTGAGGCAGCTCTGCCTCTGTATCTATTTTTGTTCATAAGTTTATAATGGTCTTTATTATCCATAAATGAGTGAGATCATGTGGTATTTTTCCTTCATTGACTGGCTTATTTCACTTAGCATAATGCTCTCCAGTTCCATCCATGCTGTTGCAAAAGGCAAGAGTTCCTTCTTTTTTACCGCAGCATAGTATTCCATCGTGTAGATGTACCACAGTTTTTTAATCCACTCATCTGCTGATGGACACTTAGGCTGTTTCCAGATCTTAGCTATGGTGAATTGTGCTGCTATGAACATAGGGGTGCATATATCCTTTCTGATGGGTGTTTCTGGCTTCTTGGGATATATTCCTAGAAGTGGGATCACAGGGTCAAATGGGAGTTCCATTTTTAGTTTTTTGAGGAAGCTCCATACTGTTCTCCACAGTGGCTGCACCAGTCTGCATTCCCACCAGCAGTGCACGAGTGTTCCTTTTTCTCCACATCCTCTCCAACACTTGTTGTTTGTTGATTTGTTGATGATAGCCATTCTGGCGGGTGTGAGGTGATACCGCATTGTCGTTTTGATTTGCATCTTTCGTATAATTAGTGACTTTGAGCATGTTTTTATATGTCTTTTGGCCCTCTGTATGTCCTCTTTCGAAAAGTGTCTATCTAGGTCCATTGCCCATTTTTTGATTGGATTGTTTATCTTCCTATTATTAAGTTTCATGAGTTCCTTGTAAATGTTGGAGATTAAACCCTTATCGGTGATATCATTGGCAAATATGTTCTCCCATGCAGTGGGTCTTCTTGTTATTTTGTTGATGGTTTCCTTTGCTGTGCAAAAGCTTTATATTTTGATGTAGTCCCATTTGTTTATTTTCTCTTTAGTTTCCATTGCCCTAGGAGCATTATCAGAGAAGAAATTCCTTCGACATATGTTTGCTATTTCGCTGCCTATGGATTCCTCTAATATTTTTATGGTTTCCTGTCGTATATTTAAGTCTTTTATCCATTTTGAGTTTATTTTGTGTATGGTGTGAGTTGGTGATCTAGTTTCATCTTTTTGCATGTATCTGTCCAATTTTCCCAACACCATTTATTGAAGAGACTGTCTTGACTCCATTGTATGCTCTTGCCTCCTTTGTCAAATATTATTTGGGCATAGTGCTTTGTTCAGTTTCTGGGGTCTCTATTCTATTCCATTGATCTATATGTCTGTTCTTGTGCCAGTACCAAGCTGTTTTAAGAACAGTGGCTTTGTAATACAGTTTGATATCTGGTATTGAGATCCCACCTACTTTGTTCTTCTTTCTCAGGATTGCTGCAGCTATTCGAGGTCTTTTTTTATTCCAGATGAATTTTTGGAACGTTCGTTCTAGATCTGTGAAATATGCCGTTGGTAATTTAATGGGGATTACATTGAATCTAGAGATTGCTTTGGGTAGTATGGACATTTTGATGATGTTGATTCTACCAATCCATGAACACGGTATGTTCTTCCATCTGTTTATGTCTTCCTCTATCTCTTTCTTCAGTGTCCTGTAGTTTTTCCCATATAAGTATTTTACCTCCTTAGTGAAGTTTATTCCTAGGTATCTTAATTTTTTTGGTGCGATGGTAAATGGGATTGCTTTTTTAGTCTCCCTTTCTGTAAGTTCACTATTGGTGTAAAGAAATGCCTTAGATTTCTTGGTATTAATTTTGTATCCTCCTACATTACCGAATTCATTTATTAACTCTAATAGTTTTTTGATGGAGTCTTTAGGGTTTTCTATGTACAGTATCATGTCATCTGCAAATAAGGACAGTTTTACTTCTTCTTTTCCAATTTGGATGCCTTTTATTTCTTCTTCTTGTCTGATTGCAATGGCTAGTACTTCCAGTACTATGTCAAACAGGAATGGTGAGAGTGGGCATTTCTGTCTTGTTCCTGTCTTAGGGGAAATGGTTTTAGTTTTTGCCTATTGATTATGATGTTGGCTGTGGGTTTGTCATATATGGCTTTTATTATGTTGAGGTATGATCCTTCTATTCCCACCTTGCTGAGAGTTTTTATCAAAAAATGGGTGTTGATGTATGATCATTCTGATATACTGCTGGATCCGATTTGCTAAGATTTTGTTGAGGATTTTGGCATCTATGTCATGAGGGATATTGGCCTGTAATTCTCTTTCATTGTGTTGTCTTTACCTGGTTTTGGGATTAGGGTGATGCTGGCTTCATAGAATGAGTTTGGAAGTGTTCCTTCCTCTTGGATTTTTTTGTAGTAGTCTGAGGAGGATAGGTTTTAGTTCTTCCTTGAATGTTTAGTAAAACTCCCCTGTGAAGCCGTCTGGTCGTGGGCTTTTGTTTGCTGGAGGCTGTTTGATGACTGCTTCATTTTCTTCCATAGTTATTGGCCTATTGAGATTTTTAGATTCTTCCTGATTGAGTTTTGGAATGTTGCATTTTTCTAGGAATTTGTCCATTTCCTCCAGGTTGTCTAGTTTGTTGGAGTAGAGTTGGCCCTAGTATTTTTTAGCAATCATTTGTATTTCTGTGGGGCCTGTTGTTGTTTCGCCCCTATCATTTTTGATTTTATTTATTTGGGTCCTCTTTCTTTGCTTCTTGGTGGGCCTGGCTAGAGGTTCATCAATCTTGTTTATTCTTTCAAAGAACCAGCTCTTGGTTTCATTGATTTTATAAATTGGTTTTTTTTGGTCTCTATGTCATTTATTTCTGCTCTAATCTTTATTATCTCCTTCCTTCTGCTCACTCTGGGCTTTTCTTGTTGCTCTCTTTCTAATTCATTGAGTTGTAGAGTTAGATGATTTACTACCATTTTTTCTTGTTTGTTGAGATAGGCCTGTAGAGCTATAAACTTCCCTCTCAAGACTGCTTTCATTGTGTCCCATAGGTTTTGGATTGTTGTGTTTTCATTGTCATTAGTTTCCAGGATGTTTTTAATTTCTTCTTTGATCTCATTGGTAACCTAATCAATATTTAATAACATGCTATTCAGCTTCCAAATGTTTGAGTATTTTCGGTTGTTTTTATTGTAGTTTATTTCTAATATTATGCCCTTGTGGTCTGAGAAGATGCTTGGTATGATTTCAATCTTCTTGAATTTGGGGAGACTTTGTTTGTGACCCAATATGTGGTCTATTTTTGAATATGTCCCATGAGCACTTGAGAAGAACATATATTTGTGGCTTTGGGGTGAAATGTTCTGAAGATGTCAATTAGGTCCATATGATCTAGTGAGTCATTTAGGATTGCTGTTTCTTTGCTGAGTTTTTGTCTAGCGGATTTATCCAGTGATGTCAGTGGTGTATTAAAGTCCCCTACTATGATTGTATTGTTGTTGATTTCTCCCTTGATATCTTCCAGGAGTATTTTTATGTATTTGGGTGCTCCTGCATTGGATGCATATATGTTTATCAGGGTTATATCCTCTTGTTGTATTGATCCCTTTAGTATTATGAAGTGGCCTCCCTTATCTCTTGTTATGGCCTTCACTTTGAGGTCTATTTTGTCCGATATAAGTATTGCTACCCCAGCTCTTTTTTTCATTTCCATTTGCCTGAAAGATATTTTTCCATCCCTTCACTTTCAGTCTGTGTGAGTCCCTTCTTCTGAGGTGGGTCTCTTGTAGACAACAAAAGTATGGGTCATGTTTTTTTTATCCATTCAGCCACTCGATGTCTTTTGATTGGAGCATTTAGTCCTTTTACCTTTAAAGTTATTATTGAAAGGTACTTGTTTGTAGCCATTTCTATTTTTTGTGTGGCTGTTTTATTTCTGAGCTTTTTAGTTCTTCTTTTTTACACCAGTCCCTTTAGCATTTCTTTTTCCCCCCCCATTTTTAAAAATACTTTTTTTTTAAAATTAAATC